CCACAGCATGACCTGACAAGCGGTGCATTGGTGCACGCCCGGGATCTGAACCAGGGTCACCAGCAGCAGAACGCGTGCACCCAACCACCACGCCACGGGGCTGGCCCCTTCTCTGACTCTTTTAAGGACTCATGTGATTACCTTGGGTCCACCTAGATAATTCAGGGTAATCTCCCATCTGAAGATCCTTAAGCACATCTGCAAAGTCCCTTTTGCCGTGTAAGGTAAGATATTCACAGATTCCAGGGATTAGGATGTGGACATCTTTGAGGCACCATAATTATGCCTAGTATGTGAGCTATGACTCAATTAAGGCAAAGAAGTATTGAAACATGTTGCAAATTGAGTGTGGTTTTAGGGATTTAGTTACCGTGAAATAGGGATTTCAGAACGTATGGTGGAAAGTTTTGGGAGGAGCAATAAAATTGGGTCAGAAATATAGTTTAAATATTCATATTATCTCTAATAGAAATTACTTTCCTGAACTTCATATTTCATGATTTATTCAATGGAAATCTTATACTTGTTATCAACAAAGATTAATGGTTAAAAAATGTGAATTTTGAGTATGTTCATAAAAGAGGCAAGCTGTGTCTAGGTTTGGTTAGCTTTAACCACAGACAGATTTCTTTTTTTACAATGTCACAAAGCATTGATTAAGTGAAAGATAACTTCATGTTCTTACTTATTCTGGCATTGACTTCTTTCTTGTAACTACTCTGAGGTGTCATCTAAATATGCTTTAAGGTTATGATTGCACATAATGTGCTTAGATGAAATTTATTGAGGCCTCTCAGTCATTTGTCACAGACAACTGAACAGTTGTGATGAAGCTATTACTTGTATCAGCAAATGAGGCGGGGCTCCAGATAATAGTACTGTAAAGGTGCATGTGTTCATAGCCATACTTAGACTTCCGAGTCACTAGAATGAAAAAAGTCAGCCCTTTACTAGCTTTTACTATCAAATATTATTTTAGTAATAACATCATGATAACCTTTGTTAAAAAAAATAGGCAACATATTTTTGTTACAACTTCTATTAACTTAGAAATTAAAAAATAAAGTAAAAAGCAGGGATACAATATTACTGTTTTAAAGGCATACAGTGATTTATTTTTTATTTTTTATTGAGGGAGATCAGCCCTGAGCTAACATCCATGCCAGTCCTCCTCTTTTTGCTGAGGAAGACCGGCTCTGAGCTAACATCTATTGCCAATCCTCCTCCTTTTTTTTCCCCCAAAGCCCCAGCAGGTAGTTGTATGTCATAGTTGCACATCCTTCTAGTTGCTGTATGTGGGACGCCGCCTCAGCATGGCCGGAGAAGCTGTGCGTCGGTGTGCGCCCGGGATCCGAACCCACACTGCCAGTAGCGGAGCGCGTGCACCTAACCGCTAAGCCACGGGGCCGGCCCCAGGCATACAGTGATTTAAATAAAGGATATCGACAGAACCTGTATTATACTCTTGTGGAAAGATATTTTCTGACTAATAAAAATAAATATAGAACCTTCTGTGCTATGTAATGAGATCTTAATTTAGTAATTAAAATGTTCATTTAACAAGCAGCCAAGTTTGGGGACAGGGTCAAAGAAGACCTATGCAAAGTGAGAAGACAGAGGAGTTACAGAACTTTCAAGTGTTCAAAGCAACTCTTCACTGTTTTTTTACAAATATTATAGTCTACCAAATACACATTACAAGTCTTCAAATTTAAGAAGTATCACAATCTATAATCCAATTTGACGTTGTTGTCCATTTTTGTATTACTTGACTTACTGACAGGGATACGTTCTGAGAAATGCCGTTAGGCAATTTTGTCATTGTGTGAACATCATAGAGTGTACTTACACAAACCTAGATGGTATAGCCCACTACACACCTAGACTATATGGTACTAATCTTATGGGACCACCATCCTCTCTGCGGTCCGTCATTGACTGAAATATCATTATACGGTACATTACTGTATTATTATTATTATTATTATTTAATTTATTTTTTTCCCCCCAAAGCCCCAGTAGATAGTTGTATGTCACTGCTGCACATCCTTCTAGTTGTTGTATGTGGGGCTCGGCCTCAGCGTGGCCAGAGAAGCGGTGCGTCGGTGTGCGCCCGGGATCCGAACCCGGGCCGCCAGCAGCGGAGCGCGCGCACCTAACCACTAAGCCACGGGGCCGGCCCCATGACTGTATTATTAACCAAGTGTTATGTATCGATGAAGTGACCGTATCCTCTAAAGATTTGGACCTTTCTTCTCTTTGTACATAAAGATAATGGTGCTTATCTAATGCAGGAAAGTTCCAATAGTTTATCTTTTTTTAATCACTAGTGGGCTGAGAAATTAGAAACTGCAGAATACATGCTTTTTTTTCAACATTGTTGAGGTATAATTGACAGATAAAATTGTAAGATATTTGAAGTGTGCATTGTGGTGATTTGATATATATATATACATTGACAACACACGAATTTTTTAAATTAAAATGATACTATGTCTATCCTTTAAGCTATTCTCGAGTATGGACTCTTAATAGTGATGTAAAAAGCAAGCAAAAAAGTTTAATTTAACTTGTTCATTATTTTAAATGACTGTTTCTTGAGGTAGCCATTTATTTGATTAGCCATTAATCAAATAAATGAGAGAGAGATATTTGAAGTCTTTCAGAAAAAGGTGGGAATGGTTCAGTCAAGGTACATCTGAGTTGGACCTGAGGCACAGGTGTTTGAGAATATGAGTTATTAAATGTGCAGTACTCATGTATTCTCAGTGTCAAATTTGAGGTTTCATAAAAGAGTGTGTCCTTTTACAGACTCAAATAGGTTTACATATCGCACAGAATTGTGCCTCATACATAATTAAAAAGTCAAGGATGATTCTGGGTTCCACTTAATTGTTTTCAAAATGTTAGGGTTATAGGCTTCTTTGTGAATATACTTTCCAGTTGATTCAATTTACTTCTCTTGGAAGTTGAAGACACTGATATGTCAGATACTTGGTATCTCAGAAACATGCTGAAATTCACATATCAACAATAGCTTCAGGAATCTAGATTACGATTTATATTTGTAAAAACCTGTGACTTTTCTAAGAAATTGTGACTTCATTTTCTTCATCTAATTCTGTAGTTCTTCAAAATCTGAGATTCTCTTGATCTTAGCATTCTTACAGTTTGCATTTTCTGTTTCACCCACTTGACAGTTTAAATTTAAATGAATGTATTGTTCTTCCTTGAATAAATAAGCAATGTACTTGTTCTCTTGCAGTTTCAATTGTAGTGTTTAAAGTGTCTAATTATATCCATTAGATAAATCAAATTCATCGGTCATTAGAGATAAAAAGTTGAGTTCACAGAAGTTTGAAGCTATAGAAAGTCTTGATTTAAGAAAGGAGTTCAATATCTCTTCAACAGCTTTCTATGACCAAAGGTTTAGACATTTGACTGTATTATAACAAATATATGTGTATCCTACCTATTTTTTCCGAATGTTCTATAAAGTGGCAGAGACTAAAGGGGCAAACAATAATTACATTCATAGACTTGATCTGTCCATATAATACTATGGATCTGTTTCACAAATTTAGATGAAACCCTTTCAACGTATATCTTGGCTGGGCAGACCAGTAATTCTAGCTTATTTGAATGAACGTTTTCTTTTCATGTCATTGCAAATTTGTCATCTCTGGGAAGTGAACACCAAAATGTCTCAAATTATTTACTGGCATTCTTGCTCTCTACTAATTTGTGTAAAGTGTCTAAATAGGTAAAACTTTCTTTGGCTTAAAATATCAGTTTAGCCACACCTCTGGGTCAGGAGGCCACATTTGTTCTATAAGCTATGGTTCAATTCTAAAGATAAGACTGGAGGATTATAGGGGTCAGGCAAACTCTGCATTTATGGGAAAGGTTTTGGAATGGCAGGATCAGGATGGTGATTTTAGGATATCATAGAGAGAAGAAGGAAAGTGTGTCAAATACGAATGGCAAAATAAGGACAAAACAAATAACTTGGAGTAAATGGGGTGTCTAAGAAAGTCAAGATCAAGTTCCAGAAAAGTACATGCAACTCTCAGAGGTTACTCAGGATTTAGGATTGTTATAAGTTCGTGGTTCACAGGTGGGCAGGGCTGCGCATAGACGCCCCAGTCAGCAGTATCAGCAATATTCTAGTGCAAAGTAGTTTTTTCCTACAAAATTTCAATATTGATTTTTATTGTCACTTTTCCAAACTGTTTTCTTTTACCCAAACCGTTTATAACACACTTAATGGAAACTAATTATAAAAATATCCATTAATGAGAATTTTGAAATCTGGGAACATTCAGAGAAAAGTTCTGTGGTTATGTGCTTGCAATAGGAACCAATAAAGTAGTGGTTTTTCATGGAAATATTTATTTTCAAGAAATATCTCTCATAATACAGCATTTATTTATACATTTGTATTCAAGTAGTTATTTATGCAGTAATCATTCTCTAAATTGTTAAATATTAAAAGTCTATGCAAAGAATATGTGAGGAAGAATAAAAATGATTGGAAATAACTGTTCCAAATTATTGATAGAAAGTTTTATCATTTTCTTTTACAGACTATTTAAAAAACTCAGTAATGGCCTTTGTGGAATAAAAGCCCATTTCCATGTTTATCATTGAATCTCCTTTTTAGTAACCTTTTTTCAACAAGTTTCCATTTCTTTGGAATATTTAACTGACACCTCTCAGAATGACTAATACTGTCTGATCTGGTGATAAACACTGGGAATTTCTTTCATTTCATCACCTGCATACTTTTTGGGAGGAGCGAGAAAACCCCTATGCGTCTGCAAAACCCGTGTGTTTATTTATAAAACCCTGTTTGTTCCTAAATAACTTGATGTTACTCACTGGTGCCCTATTTCCATTACCTATTTTGTAAATAATCAAGGTTTAATGTATTTTATCTGAGCAATTAAATTCCTATTAAAATTGGCATATATATAATGGCACTTCTGGTTTTCTTTAAGGATCCCGTGTTTCACCTGGAATCACACAGATCTGAGAGAGGACGGGGCCGATGTCCTTTCGATCCCAGCTCCTCCTTCGTCTCCGCGTTAGTTGGTAATTATTGTCACTGCAGACCTCTGGTGGTAGTCGTATTGATTTTGAAACTTCAGTTCGTTTTGTGGTATTTCTTTATAATGTTGCCTTGTCATCTCTATTTATTGGTGCTGGGAGCAATGATAGTAAATTTCAAGCCCTGTTAACTTGAGCCAATTTGACTCTAAAATAAGTGCAGCTGATATGAAGTATGGGTGTCTCATTCTGGAAACACAAATTGTCACATAATACCTGATGTAGGATATTTTGAATTGTGCCATTGAATGTTCACAAAATGCTTAGGAATACAAAATTATATGAATACTCTATCAAAATTTTAAAAACTAAACTATTTTAGCATATGTTAATTCTTCATGTTTTAAATACTCTGTAACTTGAGGGGAACTTCTAATATTCTCTTCTTGGTGCCTTTCTCTGTATCAGTAGAATTCAGCAGAAAGTCATTTCAATTTAGAACTTAAAAATCATTTATCTAAATTCTTGTTAATATAAAATCTAAACTATAGAGGTTAACCAGCTCAAACTACCACTAAATATCCAGATTGAAATAACAGAATAACCTGGCATGTCTGATCTAGATTTCAATTTAATTAGATGAGGTACCTGAGAATCTCGTTTAAGACCCAGCAAAATACTTTTTCTCTTTTATACAATTTGTGATTGAAAATGGCACCTTTGTCAAAGTATTCTAGCACTGTGATGGTGCAGACAGATGGATGAGTTCCCAAGTATAAAGTTGAAGAGAGCAACCCCTGACACCTAGCATAGGTGCTGTGAGGAATCATTCTGTGTTCTCAGTGTTGAGAAGTTCTGATATAGGTATGGTACAGATGTACAAGTTTCTATTGTTACATTTGCAACATTTAGAGTTATATGCTAAAATTAGGTCATCCTGTTTGCAGAAAATGAGAAAGTGTAAAGTAACATGTAGAGACTTCTTATTCTAAATAAGTAGTTAAAACTTAAAACTCCTGGGCCGGCTCCGTGGCTTGGCGGTTAAGTGTGCGCGCTCTGATGCTGGCGGCCCAGGTTCGGATCCCGGGAGCGCCCCGAGGCACCACTTCTCCGTCCAGCGTGAGGCCGAGTCCCGCGTACAGCAACTAGAAGGATGTGAACCTATGACATACAACTGTCTACTGGGGCTTTGGGGGGAAAAAACTGAATAAATAAAATCTTTAAAACTTAAAACTCCTCACTGATGATTAATCAAAGTATCTTATGCTTGATTTAGATTTGATACAGATGTTCCTGTGTATTCTAGAGACTGTACAATCCCTGAACTTATTCCAGACAGTTGATTTTGATGGGCCTTGCATCCCACTCCCTACACTTCCCCATCCCAATCATGGTACTCAGGTCCAATAAGTAGAGCCTTTATAGATATATATTTATTTGTAGAACAAAAATCTCATGTTAGCTCTAATTAATAGGGGTAGTTTTGTTTACATTAGCTTCATAATTTGAAAGATCTGAAAGATGAGAATTTCACATAGTAATTGAGTTCTTCAGGGCTTGAATAAAGAGATGTAGTATTTATTAAAAATAAAAAATTTTAAAGAAAAATATTATATTAAGAAATCTTGGGTTCGTTTACTAACCCGTGTGTGTGTTTGTGTATGTGTGTGTGTAGACACAATATGAGGAAGGGAGTTTTTAAATATGACAATAGAGTTGCCTAAGTCAGTTTACACTTAGTAGGAATCAAAACCTTAGGAATGACACTTTTGGTGAATGCCAGATCCATAAATGTTAGAAACTCCTGGTAGATGGGCAGTGTATGAATTAAAATACATGCATTTGATCGACTCATACAGTTTTTTTGGAAAGTTTATAGTGATTTTTGTAACTTTATAGGTTTAAGATTTGAATATTTCTGGAAGAAAGAGACTTTCTCTTCTTTCTTTTACATACAACATCTTGCATAGAAAAGGCCTCCTATATATAAATAGTGACTGAATGGAATACTCATTGGAGTTCCTAAACGTACAAACCAAAAATAAATTTGGCAACCAAAAATAAATTTGGCGATATTACTTATAAGACTATTATAAATGATATTAAAATGTGAAAATTCTGAGACTAGAAGAGAATACCATTTATTTTTTAACATTTCATTTAAATGGTTAAAAGTAATTTCTTTAACCACCCTGCCACTCACCACTCAGCCTCCCTGGAGCCTGTTTATGCATGAAACCAGGAATTTAAAACTGATTTTTTTAAGAAGGGAAATATTACTGGAGGGACATTTCCAAGTGAGTTTCCTTGAACTTCCAAATCAAATTACACTGTGCTGAAATGTGAAGTGCTTGCCATCTGGGTGGCTGTTTCGCTTATTCAGAAGAGAAATCAAATCATAAGAGCCCTCCAAGCTAAACACAAAAAGTTATAGAATAATCCCTCCAAAGAGAAGAAATAAAAATATAATTCTTCACATTTATCCACTAGCTTTCATCTCAAAGTACCTTTGAGAGATCACTCATTCACACTGGATATGCGGCAGCCACTGGGATGGAAACCTGATAACCTATGGGCGCCAGCAACTCTTTTTAAGAGAGGAAGTAGAAATAATTCACCCAATTGAAAAAGCAGTAGGAATTTGGGCTGGAAAAATGGAGCTACCTGAGTTGGAATTTGGCAAGCTCGGTGTAGCTTACTCTGACAGGGAAAGAATGCATGAATGTGGCCTTTTATGACCACGCATGTTCTCTGCTGATGAGTTGGGACAAGACTCCAGCAAAAAGGTGACCATCCTTAGACCATTGCTCCTTCTTTGTTTTCTTTATTATAGGTTACACTTAATGTTTAATGCCTGTTCACATTAGGATGCACTTTCATGATAAAAAACTCAAATTTGTAACAATACTTGTAAAACTAACAAGGCCCTCAAAGAAAAAAAGTGCCTGCAAATCAGAGAATTTCTTACAATTTCTTTAGATACAATTTTCAGTTAAATTCATTTGACTTAAGATCACATGGGTAAAAGCTTACTGAAAAACTGAATAAGGAATGAAGATTTTTTGCTGGGTGAAAGACAAGTTAACGCAGACATTTTTATCAAATTTATAATGTAACTTAGAAATGAAATGTTAGTAACTTGCAATGATTCTATGCGAAACAGGATTTAAGGAGTAAAACAAGCTTCTTATTGAGCTATGTTCTGTATGTTCAGAAACCAATCAAAATGAAATCATACATTAATTAGGCCTGCTCTTCAAATGTCACATCGTATTAACATAGTTGATTTTGGTGGCATATAAGTTCATATGGCAGGTGCAATATTTCTACATTAGCCACATTTCCCCCCTACTGTGATTATTAATATATTTGAAGTGGTCTTAAGTAACTGTCTGAAGAAGGCAAGACATTACAACCTGGTTTTAAAAACAATTAGTTGAAACAGTGAATTATTTAGTAAAATGAACTGCTTCATTACTTCCCTATACTTTTCAAGTTATCCAAAGATACTTAGTACTTATCTTGCCACTAAATTATTAGGTTTGGTGACTGGCCAAATAAAAATTCAGGAAATATTTTCTTTATGTCATATGTCATTTTGGCCTGGAAGGGAAAATATTAGCTGACTCTTTTTCATCAGTTGTGTTTGATATAATTTTGTAATATTCTCCTTATTAAGTTAATAACATCTTCAGTAACTTCAGGATTTCCCTTATACTTTGCCCTCTCAATTCTATTGCCGTTTTTTTTTAATGTTTCGTTGTGGCCCAGATTTATATTACCAGTTTCAGGTGTAATTTAATACCTAGCATACCTGAAGTGCCTAAGGTATGTTAATGGGCATGTTACTACGTTTGGGGGAAAACCACACTGATTTGTCATGTACCTTTTCACACTTTGCTTTGAAAGTGTTAGCTTTGTTGTTGGGATATTTTTAGGATACTTCTCAAGTTAACGACTTACTGAATTTTGTTTTGACAAATAACCACAAGATATTTTACAGTCACTGCAATTTTCTTTCTATGCTTTTTTTGTCCTATGTTACTCTTTTCAGAAAATAACACTACAATAGTTTACAGCCTCTAAAATTTTATTTTCTTCCTGTGCTTTTTTTTTCATAATAAGAAGACGTTTGTGACTATATCTCCTCATCACAAATTCTGTGAATTAAAGGTCAATGTTGATTGAATGGAAGGGAGTTGGAATACATGCAGGGAAAATTTGATTATTTCAATCTCTTAATAATATTAAAACTTTTTAAATAAATAAATGTTTCTTTTCAATTAACTATATTTATATTCAGGGCAGAGTTATGACTAAATAATTCTGGCACAAAATAAAACTAAATAAATATTAGAAAAATAAATGAAAAAATCTAAAGGAAGGTAAAATCCATGTCTTTATAATTACAACCTCTATAAACATAACAAGTGAATAGCTGGCTCGTTTCTTGAATTCATCCCAACTGTATAGAAGCTTAGACTTAAAGTTAGGCCCTTACCACATTCCTGTTCTGAAAGAATATCTATAATTTCTTATCCAAGGCTGCTGCCTCACATTTGACAAAATGCCAGTTATCCACATGCTTACTGTTGATTCTGGCCATAACTGCTAGTCCCTAAGGAGCTATTTGAATACTTTGCTTATGATTTCCTCAACACAAAACAAAAAAAATCTTTAAAAAGATAGAAGGAAAAAAAAAGTCTCCCTCTCCAATTCCCCATTGACATCCTCTTCTTTAGGAGTCTGGTTTGACCATGACAGTGTCCATGTCACCAAGAAATCTCAAGAGCTTAGCCACGGGTGCCAGCAAATGCATGTGAACAGATTCAAAACACGTTTTTTTTCCTTCATGCCTCAGAAACCACCTTCTTAGCATTGATAGCTAATGCTAGCTATATGCCAAAACAAACAAAAAAACCCCAAAAAAGCCCAAACAGCAACTACATAACTAATAAAAGGACATGTTCTTCCTGGTCTCTTTCAGCATCCTAAGCAGTGTGGGTGCAAACTGGAATGTTGGATTTTACGGATCATTCTTATCC